GCGTAATCCCCTTACTCACCAATCTCAACCGGCACGGGGCGGCGCCCTCAGTGTCTGATTTGGGCAAGAGATCATGCAGCCCTCACTGCGATGCTTGAGTAAAATGGGTGAAAGGTTTTTGCACTTCGCAAGTGGCATTCTATCACATGATCATAATTATGTATATCATTATTGTAGCTTGCGCCGCACCATCGGTTGGAATGTCGTATCAGCATTTCGAAGAATCCTCTCAGCACAGCGCATGCAAGCATTTGACCCTTCCAATACGCGATGTATGTCCCGGCTATTTCGGCCTACTGTCAGCATGATAGCGTGTCCTTTAATTTCGAAGAGAAGTGAAGGATATGCTACCTTTGGCGCACGAGAAGGCGGCAGCCGCCCCCTTGCCCCTGTTGGCAGCGCCCCTGGGTGCCTCCCTGGGGTCAGTACCCACAGCTTTTAAAAGATCAGGGACAAAAGCCCTGGCAGGGTGAAGGTAGGAAAGACATGGATGAAAGGGAGCCTGTTCCGATTAGTTGAGCGAAATGTTACGACGTAAAGAATTCAAAAGGAAGGAGATGTTGGGTTGTTGCCAATGTGTATGTACGTTTGGATCCCTTATCGCGGCCAGGATAGGGAAGGGACATCTATGATCCACTAAGGTTTTTCAGTGGGGTGAGGAAACATAAAGACGCAAGCGGCAAACGTTCAGATACATTGTGTTTGATTATTCTGGAACATTTCTGGAGCCTCCATGCATTACTGCTGGTCTCGTTATCGCCTTTGGCCAAATCAAGCGACCTCGTGGTCGAAAAATTATTTGTCCCATGTTGACAAAATTACGCCTTAAAGTGTAAGAAGTTCATGAAAAATGTATTTTGAAAATATACCAGGCGCTTACACGGAGTTTTCGGAATAATTTAGGAACATAAAAGACAGTTAAGGTACTCCGATGTGTTTCACTGACAATGATGCGGAGAGTGCAGGTTAAACCTTCGCGTTAGAACGCTTACGTCAGGTTTTGCCAACCCGGCCCAACCCCATGTTGACAAATTACGCCTTAAAGTGCAAGAAGCCTATAAAAATATATTTTGAAAACATACCAGGCGCTTACACGGAGTTTTCGGAATAATTTAGGAACATAAAAGACAATAAGGTACTCGGATGTGTTTCGCTGACAATGATGCGGAGAGGTGCAGGTTAAAACCTTAGCGTTAGAACGCTTACGTCAGGTTTTGCCAACCCGGCCGGCGGTGGCGGAGTACGCTCTCTGGTAACAATGCCGCTATGTAGCCATAAAGGGATTAAATATTAAACAAAAAAGTTCGATATGCTGTGCTTCGAGCTTTACTCAAGATGCAATTTCCAACGATGTCCTTATTTTTACCTCGCCCGACCGTTTATAAGCCAGACGGGGGGGGGGGGGGGAGGGATGATGCGCTAGTCAGTTGTACATGGCAGCCGTCCCTCAGTCGGGCATAGGTTAGTGGGCCTCATTTCTAGGCAGGCCGAAATTAACCATCATGGCGGTGTTGTGACAAAAGGGGTACAAAACAACGACGCGCGCGGCAAAAGGTATATGTAAAAAGGTATATGTACAAAACCGCCCAATCTCACCGCTTGTGATCTGTATTCTGATGCCATGGCACAAGTGAAAAGTTCCACCTCAGGCATCACCTGAGCCACTTATGTAACCTGCTTGGAAATTAAGGTTTGCACACGGGGTGTGAAGTAAATAAAAAAGGTACCACAAATGTTGCGCAACGCGTTTTAGCATTTTTGGCCAAGTTCGGAAAGCCTTGAGAGAGACAAATCTTCTCGCCACTCTGGCCCGAGCCAGGTATAGACTGCCTTTATTTTAAATAGAAGTTCTATCATCCAAAGCTGTTCGATGTGGTCATGTGACCAAGTGCTCATAGCGTTGATGATGAAATGCAAATGTAATTTAGTACATCGGGTATTCCTATATTTACTGAAAGATTGGGTTTTTCTATATTTCCTTCATGAAAACTAACCGCCAGACATATCTCTCGAATTCGGTGGACATGGGCCCAGAACTCATGCTAGAATGACGATTTCATACAAGGTATCATTATGCCAAGCAACACTCTCAGCTGCGTCATGAACAAAATAAAAGAAGCACAAAACTGCAGGGTTTTATCTATCCGCATTCCAGAGCTATCGTGCATGGCCAAGCACGAAGGTGGAAGCGACGGTAACCACGTGGACTATTGTGGAACATGAGCGTAGCGAAACAGCCTTCTCACTCGGGACTACAGCGAAAAGCAGGCACAACTGGGCATTATCAGTTTTCACCTATTTCGAGAAATGTATAATATGTAGACATGTTTCCTGGCGTGTCGTGCTTCAGCCGCCTCAAAGCGCCTTCCATGAGGCTTTAACCAATGCACTGGACTGAAGACATTGAACACACTTGGAGAACCTTGGCAATGACTTTCCCCGGGAAGAAGGTTGGTGGAAATGGGGAACTGTCCCCTCTTGTGCGAAGATTGGAGGGAAACGCATCCCCGTCCCACGACGGCACGGTTCCTGCCAACAGGGTTGCATGCCAAGCTGTCTTGCACTCACCACTTTCGACGTATCTTGTTCACTTAAGGCCGTATCAGTTGCCGCACTGCCCGCCCATACAGAGTCTGCTCACTCATCATGCGCCAGTCAGCAGCAACTGGCGGCAAGTAGAGACCGGTGAGCACACGGGGACCGGTGATCTGGTGAGAATCGGCAAGCAGGCACCGCTCATTGCATTGACAGCGTATCAGCGGCGGCTGCGGAGTAGATGAGCCGCCTTCGTATTCTGGTCGGATAATCGGTTAAAAGTCGGTACTAATAACAAAGAGCTCGCGTCGTCATTGCGTCTTTCCCCGGCTACGAACGGATCCCATTTGGGATCAGGTTGTTTGAAGCAGTTCATGCCATGTTTGGGACTGAGAACTTAGAACATGTAGGAGTGAGAACGCTGTGCTCGAAAGTCCGTAGAGATGGGGATGGGCTGCTTTTATCTCTCTTCCCTTTTGCTTGCAAGGGAGCGCGACACGCGACATCGAGCACCCCTGTATGGAGCGCCAGCGACTGCAGGGGCCAAATCAGCTCCCAAGAGCACGGCTCCACCGGGATTTGAAGCCGGGCTCTCTCATCGAAGCCGAAGGTGTTAGGTGCTCTGCCAGCAAGGGTCAAATACAAAGAAATCTGTTTTTAACAGCAACAACAAAAACAACCGCTAGTTGCATCAGATTAAGACAGACAGGCTTGCAGCGTCAGGTGGGTGTGTGACTGAAAGGGTGAATGTAACCTTAGCAGGTTATACGTTTAGACCTAGGAGATCTAGGTATAGCCAAACAAAGTTGCAGAAAGTCCCTCTATAGCAACATTTATTTTTTTTTGTGTACAAACTCTATCGGTCTTAGGATCTCATTTGTAAAAGGATGTGTGCGGAGCTTGAGGAAGGCCACTTCGGTGGGCCCTTGTTGGCCCGATGTTTTGATAAACACGATAGCGTACTAACCGTCGCACAGGCCGTCTCTATGGTCTAGGGGAAAGCTGCTGGGCTCGAAACCCAGCGGCAATTGGTACGAGTCCCAGCGCGAGCGCATTGTTTGGTCCGACTGAAATGGAAAGGTCAGCTGGCAACTGGCCAACAAGGATGAGCTCAGGCCCAGGGTGGCTATGTCGTAGCATTGTGTGGCACGTAGAACCCTTTGCATTCCTGTCTGTTGGAAAAGCGGCGGCAAGATTACCCGTTGAACTGGACGGCATGACTTGGGTTCAAAGTGCACGCAACAAGCAGGTACTCTAGCAGGTACTCTGAAACCAGTCATCCATGCAAACAATTCCAAATATATTTATAAAAATGATAGGTTGATTTCTTCTGGTATGCGCTTTCTAGTATCAGTATCAGGGAATGCTAGAACTGATCTTGTCAAACGTGTAATGTTTATTTGGAATGTTGACAAATTTGTCTCGACAGGTGTAAAGGGCACTGTCCATTGCTCAATTAGTGACATAGCGTGCCTTGAATTGAGATGCTGTGTGCTCATGGACTGATAATTTCTCTATGCTGTCTACTACGTGGTAAATGATCCCATTTATGATGTGGCGCTGGGTTCTTTCACGTGTTTGAGTTATGGGTGGACATTTACCCTGCATGTTTGTATTTGTATCTGATTATCTTGAGATTCAAGAGCAAGATCTCTTGACTTACACTCAACTTGATAGCGACGTCTGAGGCGCGATACGATTTGATTACGATTTTGATTACGATTACGATTTGAGCGACGACAGTATGCTTTTCAACGCTATCAAGAGCCACACAAGAAGACATGACTTTGACCCTTACTCTGAAAGGGGTGTGCGGGGGGGGGGCAAGGCGTTTGACATGACCGATCGCGAACGGTGGGAACGACACCGGTACATTCAAGGAAACCTGCACGATCGATTTTTGCTTCAAACGCACAGAACCACACACAAACATACTTAAAATTTACCAATAAACCGTTCCTTATATGTTTAATGCTGCTACGGTCAATAGCGCCGTACATATTGATATGCGAACCTAGTTCATCCAATTTTGAGGAGCATTTCTTTTTGAACTGGTGTAGAGCCTCACTATCCACCGAACGATACAAAACTGGTACAAACTATACAAAACTTGATGTAAATACAAAAATGAGAACAATTTACCGTTGCTGTCTTTTTGCACGAATCTCAACTATCCTTAGTTTGGAAGGGACAGATGTTAGTATTATATTATCCCGATTCATTCTCGTTATAGCAAACCGCGAATTCGGGAGGGCGTTAAACTGAGGCACAGAAGTACGTGGACGCTTCGCATCCCCTTTCCCAGTGTGAGAAATCCCATATGACGGCAACATCCTATGAAGATGCGCTTTACCATGACAATGCATTATGATTTACATCAGCCGATGAAAAGCCCCAGAAATCTGTTCTCAACCAGCGTGTAAATGTCGGCACTTGCTTTTATGTCGATGGGTGAGCGTCCGAACATGGCGCCGCAATCGCCTCACTTCCGGTGGCCGGCCAACATATCCTGCAGACTTCCGGTGCGTGGCGTGCTGGCGGTCGCGTCCGGCTTCCTGCTGCATTTCTCCATGAGTTGCATGCTCACAATAGGCAACCTCACCACCTACCTGACATCGTACCTACGCGTCCGCGGCAGTCAGGACGTGGGCTACGCTCAGACGGTGTGGGTGAACTCGCTGATGAGTCTGACTGAGGGCCTTATCGTGCTTCTGGGCAGCATGCTCTACGAGCGCTGCGGCCCCCGGCTCGTCGTACTGCTCGGCAGTGTGGTGGCCAGCGGAGCCACCGCGCTGACGAGTGTCTCCGTCAAAACGTCCCTGATGTGGGTGATCATGACGTACGGCGTGATGAACGGCGTGGGAATGGGACTGGTGTACACCGTGCCGTTGCTGGTCGGCTGCAAGTGGTTCCCAAACAGCAAGGGCAGGGTGAGCGGAATATTGGCCGCCGGCTTCGGTCTCAGTGGCATGGTCTTCACCGTCATACAGACCAGCTTCATCAACCCTGATAATGTGTCTACGGAGGAGGACGGCTTCTTCCGCGATGCGGCGCTGCTGGATCGCGTTCCGAAGGTGTTTCTGCTGCAGGCTGGGCTTTGTGGCCTTCTAAAGATTATATGCGTTTTCGGGCTTCATAATCCACCAGCGCGGAATGTAGGCTGCCTCTCATCGGAACTCAGCAGCAGCGAACAAAACAACCTCCCCGACGTAGATTTGACTGAACATGAGCCAGACGACGTGATCAGTGAGGAAAATCCTGAAAAAGAAGGTACATTCCTTGCTTTAAGAGAAGCGCTGAGAAACATGGCGCTGTATCAGCTGCTCCTCGCATATGTCTTAAACAAGTTTGCCTCCGATATAGCTGCATCCCTGTGGAAGGCCTTTGGCCAAACCTTCATCAAAGACGATCGCTTCCTCGAGCTTGTTGGTTCGGGTTCCTCCATCTGCAAAATGCTGGATAGCATAACGTGGGGATCCCTGTGTGACGCATTCAGCTACAAGCCAGTCATGCTTTCCCTAACAGGTTTGTTCTGCACCCTTATGTATACTCTACAGGCCATGTCACGGGCTGGTAAGGTCATGTACCTTATTTGGGTTTGGAGCATATCGTTTTGCTTTTCAGGAACAATGCCCGCCGTGATAACCGGTACGGCAGACACATTCCGCCAGGAGAGCGTAGGTCAAATTTACGGCGCCATCTATCTGGTCGGAGCCCTGGCCTCACCCCTACCCGACCTGCCGACTAATCTTCTGCTGGACAGCTACGGCTACTCACTGATGTTCCTTCTCGGGGGCATCGCCGCCACTGGAGTCTTTGCATTCACGCTTGCATTCAATAAACGTTCGGCACCATGCATTTCTTGACCTTTGGGGTGCACGACGGTGGTTGCATGGCGAGCCGCGCACTTGTGCGACCCTTCAGTTGCCATCTGGCAGGGCTGGCATAGTCTCCTCATGTGGCAGCACACAGTTGCACGTGTAAGTGGTAGTAAGACGTGATGTTACGCTGCATGTATGTTTGAAATAGATTGGTAGAATAAGTTGCGTTGGCGATGCACAAATCCACTTACCAATAAATGACAATCATCTGTTCAATACATTACAACTGCTTTGTGCAGGCATCGTTTCTTGGTCTCCCCCACGGGATATCCAGACAGACAAAGGCCGGTGTCGAACACGCCAGGAAGCGATTGTTTCGTTTGTGAGCCTATGAATGTGGCGCACGTGAAAATTTGGGGAAAAAGCAATCATCAGTGAAAATTATCACAATCACTTCACAGCGTCGAAATTAATTTTTCACGCAGCCGTGTCATGTCATGTTGTGTCCTGTCGTGTCGTGTCGTGTCGTGTCGTGTCGTGTCATGCCATGTTGTCATGTGCCGTGTCGTGTCGTGTTGCCAAAAAATGCGTTGCGTTCCAAGCGTTTGCGTTGTCAAACGTATGGTAGGTGGCGCCCAAGCGCCGTAGAACCGGAAGCTGATAAAGGTTATGTGGTCGGCGTGATGAAGGTGTGGTGTTGTAACCAACGCCGTGTCTATGCTCACCACCCAGAAGTTTGCATTGCTGATGAATTTGGGCCAATCTGCACCGCAAAACTTCGAATCACCGCGCGACAAAACAGTTTCTTACCCAGAGCCGTCCAGCAAGGAGCGAAATTGCTAGACACAAAAGTCGAAGACGAGGTTTCCGTTGATTTGAGTTGAACTTCTACGCTGGTTGGTTGGAACTTCTACGCAACAGGCTCCGGTCAGCATGTGCAGTTGTTCTGAAGCCCGTCATAGCAGGCGATCGAAATTGGCGTGCTTCATTCCAGAAACAAAAGTCAAACCTGGTTTTCACGAGTTTAGTTGGTGGACGCTGGTATTCCATTACTAGGGAGCAAAAGAGCGTGAATCACAATCAGCAATGTGTATTTGGTCAATATGTACAAAAGTACACGGCAATGACACCAATAATGCTGCAAACGTTCACAAAAGATTCCCGTGACAACGCAAACAAAGAGCTTTACTTCCCACGGGACAAAGGGTATGCAATCGCTGGGAGTGGACAGCAGAGCCCACAAACAACTGCAGCCACAGGTACAACACAAGGCGGAAGGAATGCAAATATGTATATCTAATACGCGCTCATAATTTAAATACACTACGACGTGTACGCTGCATATAGGTTTAAAGACATGACGCACTCATAGGACATGATAAATACGAAGCCAGTACGCAGGAAGGTATGCGAGAATATCGATTTGCTAATATTTCAAAATAGACCAACCAAAACACTTCAAATCCCGTTTCTTGCGTTGCCAAAGCTGTCGACATAGCTACCCGACGCGTTGGAAACATATCCGGCTCGTTAAAACTGGGACATCCACAAAACGCTGCTGTTATTCACTTGCTGTAAGTCAATGGCCGCAACCGCTGGCGTGTGTTCCGCTCCAGTGTTATTCCAGATCGCAATTCGCTACTGAATCGTGACATACGGCATACGGATTGGCAACAACCCGGTCTATTGGCACTGACAACATCGAAAAAATACGTTCTGGACAGCACAGGCAGAAGCGCCAGCTGACCAAGCACCTGGTCGAGCAGAAACGCGACTGAGAAATACAAACGCTCAAACAATATGGCCGTCGGCAGCGCTGGAATGCAGACAGCAGGCTGCCCGATTGACTCATCGGGGCTCCATGGCAGCGCAAACCACGCAAAAAAACCATCCGCACGTATTGCACGCGACAAACACGACCGATGACTAGCACGAAAATGTCAGCGACCTCAGGCGAAGCAGAAGCACGTGCGCCATTCGCGGCGGGCGTCCCGCGTCGAGCACTGAGCCGACCACAACCACTCATAGGCCCGCCGGCAGCTCCACTGAGCGGCGCAGCCAATCACCGCTCACAGCCGCAACCCGCGCGCACGTGTCCAAGGCAACGCTTTGGGAAAGAATCACTCCTGAGGTCGGCCAGGCGGCGACGTTTGTACTCCAGTGACGTCACGCGGCGCGTCACGCGACCGCCGGCTGCAGCGTCGGCCATCTTGTTTCGCTAAGTCGCATTGTTTTCTGATCTGGAATATTCAGCGTGTGCGATCAGACTAATTAGCAGGGAAACTGATGAAGCTGATCAAACACCAGCTGAAACTATCCTGGCGCGGTTTTCACAAAGCAGAACACGGGAGCGGTGCAATGACCTCATTTAAATGTGTTAACGTAATTGATATATGGTCCGAAAAGTTTTGTGGAGATGCACATTTGCCAAGACTTAAATTCGCAATCTCTCGCTCGGAAACTTCTTATGCGAAAAATATGTTTAAAACTCCAGGAAACCAATTCTGTTGCTTAAAACGGCAAGCCTTCGAGGATGAGAACATCCATCACGCATCATCTGGAGACATTTGGCAAGAAACGCAATGATCTGCTGAGCGAACAACAAACATATTCTTGGGACCCGCACCTCTCACGCAGCAAACTGTTGTAAATGTCAACACCCGAGGGCAAACCAATCCTCTCAACAGAGGAAGACTACAGCAGCACAGCTGCATTGATACCTACTTGAGAACTTTGAGTCGATCCTTTTCGAAGCTGTTCTCGGGATGCTCACACTCATATGACGCGAGCCAAAGCGCTAGAACGGAGGAGGAAAATGCATCACAAATCACGAAAACGTCGCAGCACAACAACGCATTAGCTCTAAGAAGAATGCGAACGTCATTTTATTGTTTTACGCAACGGCAGCTTAGCATGAGCGGTGCAGTGACTGTAGGTGGTATAACACTATTTCAAAGGTTTGGTATCTCAAAGATAGGAGCTGACATTTGTGGTCTGTTTGGACAGGGGCATCTTCCACTACAGTCCACGGTGTTAACCAGTTGACGTAAATTTGTGACTTCTATCCATTGCAACCATTTGCAGAACTGGTTAAGCAATGGGTGGTGACTACTTCCAATCAATACAGCAAACGCGTGAACAGAGAGAAGTATTTGGCATTTAGATGCACGTGTTGAATTACAGATAAATGAGCGTATTTTCGCTAACACCGCAAGCGATGATTGCCACTAACCACCGCCTAGGAATCAAGAGTGATTCCACACCTGAGTACGGCTAAAATATCGCGTGAATGCAGGAACCGAAACATCGTCCGCTATACACGAGCATGACATTGTCATGCAACTAGGCTGTGCCAAAGCTCAATAAAGGGAACGACAAGGACCTAGGGAGGGAGAATGCTTGTTTCCAATACACGTTGCATCAAGTGAGACAGCGGAATCCGTAAGATGTTGACACAACTCGTCTGTCAGCATTGACATCATACAACGCAATCGCAGACCTCGTTTCCGTTCCCGTGCCATGTGCCACCACAGAACTTGTCCTGTCTCCCACACCAGATGACTTACCGTGTTCGTCGTATACGGGTCCCGTCATCAGGTACTGTATGACCTTGGCGTCCTTGACGAAAGGACACGTGACCTGTTTCCACGCGATGAACTCGGTCACCTGCTTGGCCAGTTGCCAGAACTTCTCGAAGTTGATGTGTCCGTCCACCAGCCTACGGCATAGGATGTGATTTCGTGTGAGTATTTGGTCTCCGGCAGGTCAATCGGTCACAGTTACATGGTGACACCACCATGACGATTATGAAGTAACCACAGCAAACATCGTGTTACCACGATGACCATGACGTCACAATGGAAGCAAGCTGGTCAACTGAATAGTTGGAAAGATTGCACGCAAGGCAGCTCTAAGTGGGTAGGACTAAGCTCCGAAACATGACAATGCTTGATGACCCGAAAACCGCACCAATCTAGTGCTGTCACGTGATAACGCAAGACCGTAACTGTGAGTGTCACGTAACCCCGCTCTAACAAGCTTGCAAGCAATATTGTGCCGTGGCGACACAGTAGTGCCCCAAGGCCACGCTCAGCCGTACGATGTTCTACGTAAAGTCATATCTGAAGCATTATACCTTCAGCAGGGACCTGCGGCCTGAAATTCTGCTGAAGTTTCAGTTCACTTTCAGTTCACTTTCAAGTCAATTAAATGCGACAACACTTCAAGTCAAGACAGACCTTCTCCTGATCACCGCATGTGAGATTTCCCGTGCGCCCTATCCCCGCAAATGACTGTCTTTAAGCATAAGGTGCAGCGATAACACAATAAGGCCTTAGGAACCCTGTTTCTGAAATCCTGTGCCGACACTGTTCTGGGATGTCATACTGCGCACCCCAACCAACACTGTCCTGGGATGTCTTACGGCGCAACCTCACCCAACATTGTTCTGGGATGTCATGGTGTGCACCTCCAACCACGATACAGCCTACTCAGCACGCCGAAAACGCGCCGGCTTAATGAAGCACATCACCTCGTGCCGTGGCGGATCGGTCAAATACGCGTCCTTTATTTGAGTTATCGATTTATGTGATCGCCGTGACGTCATGGTAGTTGAGTCACGTGCACTGGACCGGTTAGCGCATCCCTTCGTTGAGGAAGTACAGGTCCTTGACCAGCAGAGAGACGAAACGGGATGACTATGCGCTGTCGCCCGTCTGAGCAGCAGTCACGGGATTTGGTGGACCCCGCCAACATAGCCGCCTGGGGGGGGGGGGGGGGGTCACAGACGTATGTGACGAAGTCTTTCGAACTAACGCGGCGCCCAAGAAACGTGTGCTTGTCATTAAGAGTTATCAAAAAACACACTGAAAGAAACGGTAGAGTACCAGGAGGACTTCTTAACGAACATCCGGAATGCTGTGCATATATTGGTGATGTGGAACATTTAAAGCGACGTCAGCGAACGAAACGAACTTGCGGCACAAATTACGGACGACCTAAGGCTAACGAGCTATGCAAAACGCATCCCCCGTCCTGTACTCCGACATCCGCTGCATCCATCCACGCCTTCCGTCACACGCGAGCAATCCTCCTACGATTCCTCACCTGCAGCGTCCTCCGGTTAGCTGAGGAAGTTTGAGGACGGCGACATCTGCTGCTCCAGGACCCGACAGCTGAGAGCTGTCCACGCGGGACCACTGCGGGGGCGAGAGACAAAGGCCGACCATCAGGCGCACAACCATAAACACGCGTCTTCTGCTTGGGCGGTACGGTTTTTAAGTTTCACCTATACTCAGCAGCAAGTTGGCAACCGATCAGATCGGCAAACTGGCCCGGACGCTTGTCATACTGTACTTGCGCCGAGACATTCCGCTCTGCGGATGGAATGCTGTGTGGATCCCCATACTGCATGGTGAGAGATCAGCATGAATATTGCTCATTCCACAAGACACCATTCTAAGTCTCCTCGACAATCTTGTAATAATCTAAGACCAGGGAACTGTGATAATGACAGTGACATAGACAGCCCTTCTCCGAAGATGTCTCGGGCTGCTCATTTTCGGGAGTGCACAACAAGCCCCGTCTGTTGCCCCCCCCCCCCCCCCACGTCAAAACGTCTGTATATACAGGCCGGGTGTCATCTACTGAATCATCCCAAATTAACTCCGGCCCTCCGCGTGTGCTGCGACGTTACGGACCAGATGCCGGCGTCATACTGACACCCTCCCGCCGTAACGACAGTTGGTCGTACTGTACGACACCCATCTACGTCTTCCACTGGCGACAGGGCCGTGCTACGGTAGCGAGTGTCACGCTGCTTCCTCTTCCCCGGGTCGTCCAAAGGTGTCTCTCGTTCGCCCCGAGACGGTTTATCAATGGTGGGTTCGGTTTGGCGCGCCGACCCGGGCCGTGTTGGTGGGTTATCGGCCCGATACTCTGGCAGGGAGTGTGGCCGTGGTGTCGACCCTGATCCTGGTACAGGCCTGACTCTGGCATAAACTCCGACAGCCTGGTATAGACCCTGACCCTGATGTACACTCTGGCCCTGGTGTACACACTGAACCTGGTGTACACCTTGACCCTGGCAGAGAACCTGACTCTGGTACAGGCCGTGATCCTGGTACAGATTCCTAACTCGGATGCAAGCCTTGGTACAGACCCTAACCCTGGTACAGGCCCTGACGCTGGGACAGACAAGCTTGGGACAGGACTCTGACCATGGTACGAACCCTAACCCTAGTAGCAGACTTCGATCCTGGTACATACCCTGATCCTAGTACCAGACTCTGATCTTGGTACAGATCTGACCCAAGGTATAATCCTGGCTCTGGTACGGCTTTAACCCTTGAACGACTCTTAACCCTGATACGGGCTTTAACCCTGGCCACAGACGCTGACCCTGGTACAAACCAGGACCACGGCATCGCCCCCCTCCCCCTCCCCCATCGCGGGGACGGTCCAGCCAACGTCGCAACAGTGCCGTTACCGGCCGTCAAACGGGGGCAGCCACAGCCGCCGCCGCTACCATGACTCGTATGTATGCTAAATGGGGTCCTCGACGCGCGCAATTAGCCTATTGAAACGACGGCTTGCAACGGTCCGACTGTGTCTCGCGGAGACTTAGTCAAGTGCTGGGGACAGACAGGCTGACGTCTCGGTGACATCGTATGGCTCACTCTCGAGAAAAAACGTACGGTCCTTCGACAGTTGAAAAGCGGGGCCGGCACTGGCCACAGCCCTAATTAGAGGTGAGCCTGAAAGCAAAAAATTATCCAGG